TGAGGGACAGAGAGAGGCAGATCCTGGGTTCATTCTGGCTAGTCACTATGTCAAGTGTCAGGGTCAGTGAGAGACCTCATATCAAGTCAGTAAGGTGGAAAGTGACCGAAGACACCCGATCTGCTCTGACTTCTACATGTTCATGCATGGGCCCAGAGACTTGTTGACTCATGTACATTCACCGTACATAAACTGTAAACACACACACACACACACCAAACAAAATCCATACATTCTTTAATCAGGTCCAGAGACTTGGAAGTTCTTGGGTAAGATGGCAGATTAGAAGCTGGCTCAGTTGGATGCTGTGAAGGAGAAGGGCTGGGGCAACAAGGAACAGATTCTGTTCCAAAGAGGGAAAGGCGGGAAGAGCATTCGCCTGAAGATGCAGGGAACAGGAGCAACTTGCACAGGTTTCTTGCTCCACTCCTTCCTGGTAGGAAGTGTGGCCATGCACTGGAGCATGGTCAGCACCACACTCTTAATGAAGACTGTGTTACCCTGACACCAAAATCACACAAAGAAACAACAAAAACAAGAAGAAAATTATAGACAATCCTCTCTGATGAACTTAGATGCAAAATTTCTCAATAAAGAACTCACAAACCGAATTCAAGAACATATAAAAAAATCATGTGCTGTAGTAAAGTTGATGGCATTCTGAAGGTACGGGGTTCAACTTGCACAAATCCATAAATGCAGTATATCTGCACATCTCCACTCACTGAATACTTTGTTTCTGCCCTTGAATCATTCCTTTGGGAATTGCTCTGCCATTGATGATTTATTCTTTTAGGGAAAGAAATCGTGCCATTCATATCTGGAATGGAATGTTCAAAGACAGCCTTGTGGAGAGGGTGGTGGTTTCGAAGACTCTGAGAAGGTATGGTCCAGAGAAGGCAGGGGGCATGCAGAGCTGAGGGCCCTCCTCAGCTCAGCCATTTTTGGCAGGTTAGGGAGGCACAGGTGGATGCCTGACCTCTCAGGGGCTCTTTCTTTCCTGTCACCTTTGGATCTGGTGTGTAGCCCAAGTGAGAACTGACAGTTTACTGCACATGTGCATGAAGTGCTGCACAGGCTCAGATATGCGATGGGGAAATCACAGCCATCACTGTGCCTTCCTCACCCCAGATGGCCTCAGCTTTGGTTGTCCGGAGAACTCTCAAAGGGTCCCATTTCCTCAGAGGGCACAGTGAAAGTTGGAAGTTCATAGTCATTAGGAAGAAAGGAGAGTATGTAGCCATTGCATACCGCTCTATACCAATTCAAGGAGAATGGTCAAAAGTGGAAAATGAGGATGCTGGGAAGATTCCTTTGAACCCAATATATCCAATATGATTTACTATCTTACTGTGACTTTTAGCTCAGTAGAATAGTTATCTGCTGTGGGAAAATGGTTTAAAAGAGGGGGAAGTGGTGTGGGACAATGGTCTGTATTCTGTCAATTATTTTTTTAATAAATGCTGACTGGCCAGTAGCTAGGCAGGAAGTATAGGCAGGACAGCCAGACAGGAAGTAGAGGTGGGGTAAGGAGAACAGAAGAATTTGGGAAGAGGATGCAGTTCTGACCTAGCCACAGAAGTAAGATGTGACTGCCTCACTGAATAAGGTACTGAGCCACGTGGCTAACATAGACAAGAATAATGGGCTAACGTAAGTTGCAAGAGTTAATAAGAAGCCTGAGATAATGGGCCAATCAGTTTATAATCTAATGTAGATCTCTGTGTGATTTCTTTGGGACTTAATGATTGCGGGAACCAGGCAGTACAGAAACCCCCGACAACAGTTATCGACAAATGAGAACACGTCATATGTAGCAGGTAGACCTCTAAGGTAGCCCTAGGAAATCTGCTCCAGGTGTACCTGGTAAAACACTCTACCCTTGAGGGTAGATGGGGCCTACATCATTAGGCTTTAATCCAAGGCCAAGTGAAGAAGCTTTGGGGAAGTCTGTTCTTGATTCTGGGTTGATCAAAGTGTTGTCTAGGTTTATCTTGACCTAAGTGGGTGAATTCTGCAAGGATGCTTTAATGGTCAGACGAAGCAGAGGAGAGGAGTTTGGAGCAAGACAGTACAGGGCAGATCATACAAAGGAGGGGAGGCAGGAGGGAGTCTCTGGCTGGCCTCGCACAGAAAACAGTGAGTGTCCACATATATATCTATCTAGTTTGAAAAAAGCCAGATGGCAAGGACCAGCACAGGACAGTCTTCTCGGTGGCCTTTGACAAAGCCAGTGTTGCTGTCCCTGGAACTCCACAAGACTCTGAGCTGCTGCTAGACTCACTTCACTAAACTTCTTTCTTCTTTCTCTAAAACCCACACCATCTTGCTCCTTCTTGGTGAAGAGTGAGTGGCTTGCGTCAGTGGCCTTGTCTGAATAGCCACCCGGATCTGTTGGGCTGGCATCTCCTGCAGCTGGTATAGTTACCACCAATTCCCTGGATTGCTCTGCTTGTTGCTCAGTCAATGGTGCAGAGGGAAGGAAGAGGGGATCTGCAGAGCCAGCCAGGTGTTTCTGAGGGCTGTCTAGCAGCCGAGATAACAATTTGTTCTCACTTACAACCTGACTTCCAGTATAGTGACATAGCCCTGTTCTAAAGCCAAGCATACCACTGGGGAAGCCACTTAAGTCTTGACCACAGGGCTTTTCAACACAAACAAGCCTCCATCCATTCCTTTATCTACATGTGTCTTCTACTCCTCACCTGGAGCATGTGGATGAGAATGACACCTGAATTATTCTGACAATCCTTGATATGAAACTAGTACACCTAGGTCTTAGGAGACCAAAATGCAAGAGATATCGACCCCCTGTGTGCTTTGTCTTTGCCTCAAAGACCCACATGCTACTCTTGTGCCCACAGCTCTACACCCAGAGCAAGAGTGAGCTAAACAGACACGCCAATGATCATCCAACCATTGTCTTTCTACTAGTGTGATGCTCTGGCCAGTCTGTATGGTAGAGGAAGAATGTGGTTAGAGTCTATTTCTCTAACCTCTTCTCTCCCCAATGCTATGATCTCTCCATACAATTGCTCATCTTTTCCTTATTTGAAAGGCACAAAGGTAGCAATGGCCTTGCTGGGTTATTTACAGACATGATACTAATTTTGGTATTTTTAACCTCTGCACATTGCTTGGCAAATATCCCATTTATGGATTCCTACCATCTCCTTAGATTTCTTTCATGACAGAATCTTGATTACCAATGTCCACCCTCTAGATATTACTCTTATCTTTTTCTGAAACACAGCAACATTTATTGTGCTTTGGCCAAGAACTGAGTTCTGCTTCCTAGCAGCATTGTTGCTGATGAAGCTCTCAGTAGAGCACTTTCTCTGCTGTCTGCTAAGATGTCACATCTAGGAGGTATCCCTCCCTGCTCTGCTGGGACAGGTTACCTAGGAGTCCCTCCAACAGTCAGGCCTCTGGCTGAATGCCAAGTGAGAAGCAGAAGGCTTTGTGTTCTACTTCTATCGGGGGGCAGCGGGAACAACTGCTGGTGACATGCCCTTGTTGCATGCTGGTAGTGAATCCCCCTGGGAGAAAAATCAGGTTTGATCAAGAAAGACCACCTGAGAAATCTCCGGTAGGAACAGATGGCCCAGATGTCTGAGTTCTGCATCCAAAACAGATTCAAGATGCTGCCTGAAATGATTAAGCCTCACAGGATACTCCAATCAGGACTTGATCATAACTTTAAATTTTCTTTAGGTTCCCATAAGATTATCAGTGCCCTCAACCAGCCAAAAGTAGCCTGAAATACTACGCCCACATTACCAACAAATGGACTATGGATATTTTCCTTTGTTTAAAAAAAAAAAGAGGGGGAAGTGGTGCGGGAGAATCGTCTGTATTCTGTCAATTATGTTTTAAATAAAAGCTGATTGGCCAGGCAGGAAGTACAGGCGGGTCAACCAGACAGGAAGTAGAGGCAGGGCAATGAGAACAGGAGTATTCTGGGAAGCAGGAAGCTCCCTCTGCAGTCTGCCCACACCACTGAAGATGCAAAATATGAGCTGTCCCACTGAGAAAAGTACTGAGCCATGTGGCTAACACAGATAAGAATAATGGGTTAATATAACTTATAAGAGCTAGCAAGAAGCCTGAGCTAATGGGCCAATCAGTTTATAATTTTATGGAGACTCTGTGTGATTTTCTTTGGGGCTTGCTGGCTGTGGGATACCAGGCAGGACATTAACCCCAACAAGCAGGCCCACATGCTACAGTGCTTGGGAAACTCTTTCACACAGATATCCGAGAAGCCCTTTGATGTTCAACTTTGCAGTTGTTTATAATGCAAGTGATGATGCTGAAAAGGTATTGCCCTTTCTCAGGATGAACCTACATCCGTTCAAACATTTGCTTTGAGTCATTGGTTGTACTGACTGAAAAGTCAAAGAGGACACATCTGGCTTCCTCCCTGCTTTCCTCACTGGCATCACAGGGTCATGAGGTAATGCTAGACAAGTCACCTCTCTGTTTCCTCGACTGGGAGGCCAGGAAGACTGTGACAGTTGGGAAGAGAGACACATGTCTGTCTTCACAGAGTCCCCATGGCCACCGGGGTTGTCACCTTTGCTGATGGGAAGCTGAAGTTCTAGGAACAGGATTTTCCATGTGCACAGAATTGGTAGGGTCTCCCATTTCTCTTCTAACTCAATCATATTGCCTATCCTTCTTCAGTTTCCATGGGATGGGAAGAGATCAAGGCCAAGTAGCATGGCACTTGTAGTCAGGAAAAATCTGGAATTCAGGAAGAAGGGAAATGATCTGGGAGGTACCAGCATGACTGCTTATCCAGCCAGTGCTCAGTGACAGAGTACAACAATCTTTAGAGCAGGGTTGGTACCAATGGAGAATTCTGATGGCCAATCCCAAGAACCCAGATCTTCCTCCTGCTCACTGGGAAAAAAGGCAGTCAGGCTGCTGCATAGGGGTGGGGTGAGTGACCGGGGTGGGTGCTGAGTAACAAGAGCCTGTGGGTAGCAGACACTCACCTGCCTGCTCCAGAGCTACCATGGTGGCCTGCTCGATCAGGTCCCGTTCGATGAAGCTCCTGAAGTCCTCACTGTACACGCTCAGGTCCGGCAGCTGGAATGTATAGATGGGCATCTCCAGTGGGAACTGCTCATTGCTGCATTCACTGGCTACGTGGGATCGGGCCAGGGAGACGATGGCTGAGCTGGCATGGGAAATCCCCCGGGAAAGGCGCTTCTCTGCTGATGAGAAGAAAGGAAAGACACAGGGACCACGTCACTGTCGATGTGGCTCTGAAGGTGCCTGCAGCCATGCTTGAACACTCACACACAGCACACATACTGCATATATGAAAACACACATGAGTACTCAGATTAGATAAATACATACCCGTACACTGTGAACATACAACACACATATATCCCCCCACATAATACACTTATGTAACACTATAAATGCACGACTGTACAAACATACCCAGATAGACAGACAGATGCAAATGTATGAACACATTGTACAGTAAAAACACACATGTAAATACACACACTGCAGACATTTATGCACACAGTATACAGAACTGTTGTAACTATCAATAAGTATATCTACATATACATACACATGACATTTTTAATATTTTTAATTTTTAAATTAGATTTATTCATTTTATTTTATGTGTATTTTCTTTGAATATATGTATGTGTACTGTGTGTATATTTGGTGACTGAAGAAGCCAGAGAAATGCATTGGGGCCTAAGAAACTGGAGTATGGATGGTTATGAACCACCATGTGTGTGCTGGGAATCAAACCTGGATCCTCTACAAGAGCAACACGTGCTCTTAACTGCTGCGCCATCTCTACACCTCCAATATGAGACTTTTAGACAACACATTTATCTACATATACACATACACAGGTACACACCATATAGTTTAAATATACATGTACATATATATGCATACATGCACACATACACAGGTATAAAATGTACTAGATACTACAAATATGAACACATATATCCCCATATACTCATGCATATGTACTTATATACTATGTGCATGGTATATATATATGAACATAGATGTAGATGCATATACTACATACACTATATAATATTTACATAGCACATATGTAACATGAACATACACAGGACACACTACACACAGGTACAGCTACATATATGCGCACTACACTATACACATATAGGAACATGTATGCACACGACACTCATGCACACAAGCTCATATCCTTCCCACATGAGCCTTTCTGTCTGCCAAGACTCTTCCACCTTGCAGGTCTGCCTGCTACTGGAGTAAACCTGGTGTGTGGCCTGCCTCAGCCAAGCCACGGAACCACTGAGAGCAGTGCTGCCACCTACTGGCAGGAGCAGCAGGGCTTGCTTTTGCTCCTGAGCTCCGTTTAACTCCACTCCTCAGAGCCTTCCTCTCGGGTCAGTGGGTGGGAGCTGGGAGACCATCTTTGTTTTCATGCACTTGCAGATTTAAGGCAAGAAGCACCCTGCTTAGGCTGCTCTGCTGAGGCCCAGGCTTTCCAGACATGGGCTACTTTATTCTAGCTTCTCTGATGAGCATTTCCCATGTGGGCATCCTGGGACCCACGGACGGAGGCTGTGCATGCTTTCTGTTCCAGCACTCTGGCGCTGTGGCCTACTCTGTTTTATTCTTTGTGGGCTCTCTGCCTCAACAATGGGAAACGCAGGGGCGGATGTCTCTCAAGTAAGGTCTGTTAAAGTGTGAGAACTCGAATGATCTGAAGCAAATGCATTTGTTTTCTGGTTGCAGTGAAACATACTTTTAATAGAGGACCTCGTGTTTAATGGTGACATTAACATAAACCAGAAATCTATTTTTATGGAGCCAAGGCTGGCCTTGAATTTAATATCCTCTTGTCTCATCCTCCAAGTACAGGAATTACAGGGTGCATCGCCCCTAACCAACAATTCTGGGCACATGACATAGGGACAGTCACTGTAGAGTCAGTGTCGGCGGCGTGGGCTTTCTCACAGCAGAAATCCTCTTATTCAGCTGAGGGAAGGAGGGCCCTTGGTGTTTAAGTGTGACTATGATCAACACCCTGTGGCAAATTCCTGAGTATATGCACACGAGTTCCAAGGTTGCTCACCTCCTTTTAGGCTAGCATCCCTGCTGCAAGGAAAATCACAGCCACTGCCTGCCTCAGAGCAAGACTTCCTACAGCCTCATTGTGTATCAGTGGCCATAAATGGCATTAATGAAATTCTGTCAAAGCAGACCGTCAAGTAGAGGTTTGCCTTGAGGACCTCATACATTTTCCCCATCTGAATGGACAGAAAGGTATGGAGATTGCATATTTTAGAATGAATAGTTTTAATTCACTTCAATTTCATTCTGAGACAGTATGATTAGGTTATCTTACATTTTGAGGAAAGAAAGAGAGAGGGGGGGGGAACTACAGAGGCCACTCAGAATGAGAGAGATGGAACAGGAGGTCTGGGTTGTCTGTCACTGGGACATGTCCCTGCTGCTTCCTGCACTGAGCTCAAATCCTTGATCCAATCCAAAGAAGAGAAAATCTGTGAGGTAGCTGCTCTCCTACATGCTTAACAGCGTACTAACAGTGAAGAAACAGAAGTAATACAAGTCTGTCAGCAGAATGGAAAAAGAGAAAAGAGCACATACATAGAAGGGGATAGTACTTATTAATACTATTATTAATAAATTAATAAAGATTAATTATTAATAAATTAACAATAGTTTTAGTTATAAAAATAATGAAATTGTGTTATTTATGATAACATGGATTAACCTAAGGGACCTACATTGAGTGCAAAAAGCCAGGCAGACCCCACAGATCTTGCTCTTTTATGCAGAGCTACCGTAGGATGGTGGTAAGCAAGAGTGGGTATGGGAGGGAGAGAGGAAACTGAGACTGGTGATTGACTATAAAACTGCATGTTTCATAACATAGCAGTGACCACAGTTCATAATTTACTGTAGTTTTCCAAGTTGCCAGAAGAAAATGTTTTGGATGTCTTCAGCAGAAACAGTAACTGGGATGACAGATATGCTAGCCCTCAGAGGGTTATTACACATTGGTCATATATATTGAAATATCTACAGCACCCATCCATGACTATGTACAACTATTATGTGTCAGACACAAAGACAAAAAAAACCAAGGCTTTAATAAATTAAAAATAAATAAATAAATAAATAAATAAATAAATAAAAAAAACAAGGCTGATCACCTTGCAGCTCTCTTACACAATTAGAGGAACAACTAGAGCCCACACTGCCTGCTTTTGACCTAATATACTCCAGTCTGAGGAGCTGATAATCATAGCACTACGTGCTCACAGGGAAACTGAGGAAACATCCGAGGCAGGCAGGCAAATAGAAGAATGTAAATGAAGTTCTTACATCACAGGAATCAGGCTGAACAGATTGAATTTAGAAATGAGCCTAGCAAATATGTTCAGAGAAATACAGAGAAGATGGTGAAATACTAATAATACTAAGAAATAATTTGGAATGAAAACCCAAGTGTTGACTCACACGAATGCCCAGGAGAAAGATGTAGGTTAGAATGCCAGGGCAAGCATGTCTCTTAGGAGACGAGAAGAGGAGCTTCAAGAAGACAGCTGAGGGCGTTTACAAAGAACTCAAGGAAATGAATGAGAACCGGGGAGTTTGCTCCACTGACAGAATTTTAGTCATGCAAACCTTTTCAGGCACTTAAGCTTTAAGAGATTCTCAGGAAAAATAAGATTTGAAGGCAGTATTTGAGTATCTTGAAAGAAGGAAATGAATGTAGCCACGTGTCTTTTAACAGACTGATGCCTTCTGAGAAATACGTCCCTGTGTGACTTCACACAGTGGCCTCACGCAGACCTGTGTGATCCAGCCCAGGCCTTCAATGTAACCTCTTGAGACTAGCTCATAGGCTGGGGCATTAATACTTTAAACATTTCTGTATGACAGAGTCCTCTGAACACAAAGTCGCCAGGCAAATGATACAGTGGGATTTACATACGGTCATGGGGAGGATCAGGTGCTGATTCTACAATCTGATAGCAAAGCCTATTGATTGATGGGGAAATGAACTAATGAAGAAAAAGGCATGAGGCAGAGAGGAGGAGGCCAACTAACAAGCAAACCACAAGGTGAAAGTTAAAACAAGATTCCAGTTTTCACCCTTCACACCCCTCAAAACACCAGCAAGGCAAAGTCATAGCAAGACCAGGCAGAGCCGGCAGGAGCAGAGCAAAGCCCTGGGTTTGCACTCAGTGAGCAGCAATGTGGTCAGGGAGATGACTACGTGAAGCCACAGCAAGCCCATTGCATGGCACTAGCCCGAAGGAGAGAAGCATCAGCATGAGATTTATAGGACTGAGCATTTCTTTAATGAAATTTATTTTCTTTATTTTCATTTTTTTATTATGTATGAGTGTTTTGCCTGCATATATGTATGTGTACCACCTGAATCCTGGTGTTCTACAAGGCTAGAATAGTGCATCAGATCCCCTGGAGTTAGAGATAGCTGTTAGTTGCCAGGGGGTTCTGGGAATTGAACTCAGGTCCTCTGGAAGAGCAGCCAGTGCTCTTACTCACCAAGCCTCTCAAACTTACGTCACAACATTTATTATGGGTGTGTGTGTGGGGGCGAAAACAAACAAATGTCAACACAAATGCAAGAAGACCCAGCATGGCCATTTATACAGATACAGAAGGTCTAAATAACCATGTAACAAGATGTAGCAACCAAAAGAATGAACTAATGCTTACTGCTCCATAATAAAAGCTATTTGTAAGCCACATGTCTCCCTGACTATTATTTGTTTGCATCATTTACAAGCTCAGCAGGAGAAGGAGGCAGGTAGACTTGGCTGATCAGTGGTTATTAAGAAAGTGAGAGCTGGGAGGTGGGACAAAGACCTTTCAAGATTCCTTTTTATAACCACTGTCACAAATATACCTTAGTCTGATGACGAAAAAGAACAGTAAAGAAGAAACACATGGAACAATGAACACGCCATTGAATGACTTGGAGGCTAAGCTGCCAGACATAACTGGAGGACCAGAGATATCTGTCAGGCGAAGCAGGACTCCCCCATGGGACGGGCCCGCCCTAAAGGCTTCAGTCACACTCCCCTGCTTTCCATGGGAGATGTGGAGCCGCATTAAGTCCCTCAGCTGGTACCTTGGGCAATATCGTCCTGCCTCTGCAGGCAGGGCCGCTCCACTTTGTGCCCTGGCTGGGGCAATTCTCGCTCGGGCTGCTTGGCACACCTCCCTTCATTGAACACGTGCGGCAGGTTGGCTGTGTGCACCTGTCGGAGTTGCTCATAGTCGCTTAGAGCAGCTGTCAAGTCCCAGTTCTTGCCTGTGGATAGAAATGACAAGAGATTATGACATGTATGGAGAAAAGGATGCTGTTGGGCAGGGTCTGAAAGCAGAATGGACACCCATAATCGAAGATGTAAAATACATGATTACAGCCCCTCTCATCACCGTTCATTCACAGACACATACACGCCTGTAAACATTATGTCTCTAATGTCCATCAAAGTGCAGCACTCAGTGAGGCTGTACCAGGCCTTACAGCACTGGGTTTTGGACAAAAGCCTTTTCAGTTCAGTAATGCTCCACCCCACCCCTCCACTTCCTCTAAGATACTCCCAAGAATGTCATTTATATATGGACATCCCTGGCCTTTCCATCACCACCCCCTGCCCCGTGCTGGGGATCTACTCCTGGGCTTCACAGTTCTCAGAAAGAGCTCTACAACAGGGCTGCTCATCCAGGCCTTCTAGATAAATTCTTGACTCTCATGACATTCCCTACTTAGTGGCTTAACTTAGCCATACCAAAGCATCCCAGGCCTAGTGCTGTCCAAGCAACCATTGGAATCCTCCACACACTGGCTCTGCTTACTTCCCACTGAGACACAGCAAAGGGCTGTAAGTACCTTTTATAGAAGGTGACATCCTGATTCCTCTCTTTCTCATGCCATGGGTCCTGCAGCCTAATCTTCATGACAGTCAACTGGTCTTGTAGGAACCCCAACTCTTTGTTTCCTCTGTGGTCTCAGAAATGGAAACTTCCCAGACTTCTCTAATAACTGCAGAGTCCTCTTATGGTGTACCCTGGGGTGCCTGCCTCTGCTTTCCTCTTTCTTTTTGGGGCTGCTACAGAAAGCAGGTCTGCCCACCTAGATAGGCCTTCCTACCATGGGGTCCTAATACTCGCTGCCTCTTTATCTTGGGATATTCATTCCCCAACCTGCACTGATTCCTCTAGTTTTCGGCGGACTCTTCTGAGATATATCACCTTTAGAAAAGATCCTAGTCACTATTTTTTTTTAATCTAAAATGTCACATACTCTGGTACCTAGCAGCATCGTTAGGTTAGATTAGGCAGAAATCCTCAAGAAATACCCGCACCTCTGACACACAGAAGAAACCCTATTGAAACCCGCATGGCAACTCTGTTCATGTAGAAAAAGTCACAAAGTCAATATTAATCAAAACTAGAGTGAACCAGCGAGTGCACACTCATCCGCATAAACAGCAGACTGCTATGTGGCAAGGTCAAGGCATTTAAATTTCACACAACACAGATGGTCCCAGGAGCACGTGGTCACGGGAGAGAAGAATGATCCTAGACACTTATGTGATCTGCTTTCATTTCTGAACTTCAAACATGTAATTCTAAACAACACACAATTTGCAGACATAGGCATGTATGATCAAATGCTCAAGGAAAGCAAGGGAAGAAAAAGAAACTGCAGGAGCGTGGATCCCTGGATGGAGGGGTGACATGGTGGTTAGGAAGAGAAGCATAAGGGTCCCAGTGTTCATGACTAAACCTTCTGAAGCTGGGTTGTTCAAAACTACAGAGCTAGGGGGGTGGAAGGGCCTGGCTTGGGAAAGGCCCTGGGTTTAATACTCACCACTACAAACACCAGCATCAACAATGCCCCAACACACAGAACAAAGCCAAACCTGCAATGCTTCCACAATTAATTATGCTACATATAACTTGGTGTTATCTTAGTATTTAATAAAAATAATGAATTAGAGTCAGTTAAGCTGTGGCAATCAGAAGAGCTCACACTCCTCATCATTAGCTTTCTGATCAAAGGTCAATTCCTTCTGCACATGGCAGCCAAGTCCAGGAGTCCAAGCTAGCAGAGGCTCTGTTCCACACAGTCATCCAGAAGTCCATGCATGTATACACAAGGTGATATGTGCCATCTTCAAAAAGTGCCAGCTCACTCAGTCAGGAAGAGGAGGAACCCAGAGGGCAGAGTTTCTTCTATGGGTTACTGTGATTTTTTCCTATGCCTTGTCTCCTCAGATAGGCTGCCATGGGCCAGGCCTGGAGTGTCTGTGCTGCTCTTTCTGCTATCCCATTGACATACCCACATGATGTTCAAGGGAGCCTGGGAAACGAGGCCTAGGAACCTGCTTAGGGAGAAGGAAGGGTGGATTTTGGTAAATAGCCAGTTGTTTGTACCTAGACAATCAGAAGATGGGAAATTAGTCAGATTGTACCAACCTGAGCAAGGACTCAAATATATGATGCTCACATACAATTTCTTGCTTCATGAAAACGTCTGCTGGATATTATGGGCCTGTGGGCTGAGGATTGGATGCCCCAACAATACAGAAGAACTCTGGGTGACTGTCCAGGCAGTGAGATGTCTCTGTCAATTCTAGAGTTTTGGAAGTTGCTTACAATGCACTTCCTGTTAACTTAGGTAATATTATATCCTTTAGTCCTTGATGGACTTGAATAATAGATAGTTACAGTTTTCCTTAGTTATGATAAAAGATAAAGTAGATATAAATATTATAATTGAAATTCTTGCTTGATACCTGTTTTGTTATAAGTAATTCTTCTGTGTTAAAGTTAAAACTTTCCTTTTTATTTAAACAGAAAAGGAGAGGTGATGTGGGATTCCCCTCCGTATGCTGTGAATACCATTGGTTAATAAAGGACTGTCTTGGGCTTACACAGGGAAAAATAGAGATAGGTGGGAAAAACTAAACTGAATCCTGGGAAAAAGAAGGCGGCATCAAAGAGATGCCATGTATCCGTGGCCAGGGACAGAAGCTAGAATTTTGTTGGTAAATCACAGCCATGTGGTGATGCACAGATTTATAGAAATGGGTTAAATTAATATGTAAGAGTTAGCCAATAAGAAGCTAGAGCTAATAGGCCAAGCAGTGATTAATATAGTTTCTGTATAATTATTTTTTGAGTCTGTGTGGCTGGAAAACGAACAAGTGGCCTCCTACAACTCAAGGGGGGAATGCAAGGATCTCCAAGGGAAGAGGAAATAGAAGAGATCTCATAGGTGGACTGGGGGAGGGTAGGGATGGAAACATGAGGGATCAAGCTGGGAAGTAGATGGAAGGGGAGAGTACCGAAAGAGATGCCTGGAAAGGGGGTTGGTCATTTTGGGATCAGGTAGAAACTTGGTACAATGTAAACTCCCAGGAATGTGCAAGGAGGACCCCAGCTAAGGACCCTAGCAATGATGGACCATAGCCTAAACTTGCCATCTCCTGTGACTGGGTGAGAGTTCCAGTGGAGGGACTGGGACCCCAGTTCAGTCACACATTTGATCTGCAGTCTGTCTTGCCTATGGGAAGTATGGGAGATGGAGAGTAAGGTGGCTGGGAGATTGTGCCAGTGGCCAACTATGACTGATCTAGTTTGAGACCTTTGGCGTTAGAGTGACCCTACTTCTGTCACTGCCTGGAGCCTGAGGACCCAGAGACCTAGGATACAGCCAAACAGGATCAGGGAAAAAAGTCTTGGTGCCTAGCTGATGGAGGTGGGTCTTCTTTCTATCTGTTGCTTTCATTGGTTAATTAATAAAGAAACTGCTTGACCTGATAGGACAGAATTTAGATAGGCAGAGTAGACCAAACAGAATGCTGGGAAGAAGGGAAGTGAGACAGTTGCCATAGCTCTCCTCTCCAAGATGGATGCAGGTTAAGATCTTACCGGTAAGCCACCACCTCGTGGTGCTACACAGATTATTAGATATGGGTTAATCAAGATGTGAGAGTTAGCCAGTAAGAGGCTAGAGCTAATGGGCCAAGCAGTGTTTAAAAGAATACAGTTTTCATGTAATTATTTTGGATAAAGCTAGCCGGGTGGCAGGACGCAGCTCGCTGCTCCTATTATAACACTTGGCCCAATTGCTATCAGAGAGGCTTTATTCAGTAACTGATGGATACAGACGCAGTGACCCACAACCAAACATTGGGCCAAACTCGGGAGATACTGTTGAAGAGAGGGAGTCATGAGTATAAGTCAGGGGGTCAAGGAAATTATAAAGGAACCCATAAAACAACTAACGTAGGCTCTAGGAACTCAGATTCTGGACCGACAGTCAGGGAGCCTGCATGGGATCACCCTAGGCCATTTACATATGTGTGACAGTTGTATGCTGTATTTGTGGGACTTCTAGTAGTGGGAGCAGGGCCTGTTCCTAACACTTTGGCTGGCTTTTGGGAACCTACTTCTCATACAGGGTTTCCTTGTCCAGCCTTAATACAAAGGGAGAAGTTTAGTCCTACCTCAATTTGATATGCCACACATTGTTGACACACGTGGGAGGCCTGTCCCTTTCTGAACAGAAACAAAGTAGTAGATTGGGGGTGGGGTGCGGCAGAGGGGAGTTAGGTGGAGGGGAAAGGAACTGTGGTCTGGATGTAAAATAAATGAATACATTTATTTAATAAAGAAAGAATATCCACAAGGCTTCAGTTCATATGTGTGGTAATATGATTTGTTTGTCTGGGTAACAGTTGGTTCCTTATCATTATTTATTTTGCCTTGAGACAGGGCCTTGCTGTATAGCCCAGGCTGGTTTTAAACTGCAAACCTGCCCTAGTCTCCCAAGTGCTGGAATTACCGGGCCTGTGCTACCATGTCCACCTTGACTTTATCTTTAGTGAGTATGTATATAACTCTAAACTACAATAGACAGTCACTTGATAATGCTTGGTAAAGGGAACCAAAGATACATTTCAGCCCTGGATGGTAACAGTGATAGCATTCATACTTCAAGGAAAGTAATGAAATGATCAATTTTACAACAATGTGAAGTACAATGCAGCTATTTATATCCTTATATTTGTTGGCTTATTAATAGGATTTACTTTATTTTCATTATGTGTATGTCTATGATATGAGTGTGTGTGTCTCTCTCTGTGTATGTGTGTGTGTGTAGAGGTCAGGGACACTGGCTCCCCTGGAGCTGGGTATAGGGAGTTGCTATAGGTGTCAGGAACTGAATTCAGGTTTCTTGCAAGAAGAGTATATGCTCTAAACCACCAAGTCAATGCTCCAGCCTCTAATTGG